CTGACTGGTTGACCAGTTATTCGGTCTTTCGGTCACTTAAGCTTTTATATATGTACTAGAGGCCCAGTGCACAAAAATTTGTGCACTTGGGGGGGTCCCTCAGCTCAGCCTGTGCCCTCTCATAGTCTGGGAGCCCTCGGGGGATGTCCACCTGCTGGCGTAGGCCTGCTTCCCGGGGTATCGGGCCTAAGCTGACAGTCAGACATCCCTCTGGCAGCCCGGGAGCCCTTGGGGGATGTCCACTTGCCAGCGAGGAGCAGGCCTAAGCTGCAGTCAGACATCCTTAGCGCTGCTGAGGAGGTGGGAGAAGCTCCCACCACCACCGCTGTGCTGGCAGCCGTCAGCCTGGCTTGTGGCTGAGCAGAACTCCTCCTGTGGGAGCGCACTGACCACAGGGGGCAGCTCCTGCATTGAACATCTGCCCCCTGGTGGTCAGTGTGTGTCATAGTGACCAGTCATTCCCAGTCATTCTGCTGTTAGGGTCAATTTGTACATTACCCTTTTATTATATAGGATAGAGGCCTGGTGCACAGGTGGGGCTGGCTGGTTTGCCCTGAAGGGTGTCCCAAATCAGGGTGGGGGGGAACTGGCCAGCCTGGGTGAGGGGCTGATGGTTGTTTGCAGGCTGGTCAAGCCCCCCAGTGGGGACCCTCACCACATGGGGGTGTGGCCAGCCTGGGTGAGGGGCTTATAGCCGTTTTCAGGCTAGCCACACCCCCTTCAGGGTGGGAGTCCCCACTGGGGTGCCTAGCCAGCCTGGGTGAGGGGCTGATGGTTGTTTGCAGGCTGGTCAAGCCCCCAGTGGGGACCCTCACCCCATGGGGTGTGGCCAGCCTGGGTGAGTGGCTGAGGGCCGTTTTCAGGCTGGCCAAGCCCCCCAGCGACCCAAGCTCCCTGCCTCTCCTTTTTTTCTTTTTTTCTTTTATTTCCAGCACCTTCTTAAGCAGAGTCCAGGGCGGGCTGGAAGCAGGTATCTGGGATTTATTTATCTTCTATAATTGAAACTTTGTAGCCTTGAGCAGAGCCCAGGACCGGCCAGGGCAGGCGGGAAGCTTGGCTTCCTCCATTGCCAGGGTCAACCCAAGCCTCCTACTCGCTCCAGCTCTGTGGCCGCTGCCATCTTAGTTGGGTTTATTTGCATACTCGCTCCTGATTGGCTGGTGGGTATAGCGGAGTGGTGGTTAATTTGCATCTTTCTCTTTTATTAGTGTAGATAGACTAGAGGCCCAATGTAAGAAATTCCTGCAAGAGCCTCGGCTCCCGCCACCACGGCGGCTGCCTCTGCATCTGCCTTGGGTGAGGCAGCTTCATCCAGAAGGTCATCCCTAAGGACATCTGGTCTAATTAGCATATTACGCTTTTATTATTATAGATGATCTGTTCACTGATTAACATTGTCATTAATTTTTTTTAATTTTACCTGAGGATATGTTTATTGATTTTACTTAGAGAGAAAGACAGATAAAGAAATAGAGAGATCGTTGCCTCCCATATGCACCTCAACTGAGAATTTAATCCACAACCTAAGCATGTGTCCTGATCAGGAATCAAATCCTCAGCTTCCTGGTGTAGAGGATGATGTTCCAACCAACTGACCCACCCGGCCAGGGCTGCCACTGGTTTTATATAAGTGGCATGAAAGTTTTTTAGGAAAATATTCCTGTGATACTGAAATTAGAGAATCCATATCAAATATACAGAAGAAACCAGTTTTCTATTTTAAAATGTGAAGATAAAATAAAGAGCCACTTCAACCAAATAATCTAATACAATCCTAGAGAAAAAAAATATATATATAAGAATTTGCTTTTTCAGATTAATGGGCAGATCAAAATTTTTACCCCCAGCATATTTTATTTTAACTAAACAAATGTTTATGCTACAAACAAAATAATTAAAAATAAATAAATTCAAAAGTAATAGTGGACATTAGGTTTGATTCCACAGTTGCTGCTATGTGGAATCTATTCTGCTGTTAACTGACACCACATCATCAAGGGACAAAATGATACTTTATCATCAAATACTATATTTTGGACATGGTTATTGACATAGATATTACTAAGTAAATACACCATTTTAGCTATAGGGAATAATTCTAGAGTTGGTGGTTCAACAGGGCTTGAATTTTTAACTTTGGAATATTTTAATGTTACATTTATCATCTTTATATATAAAAAAGTTACCAAATGATTTATATTAGTCAGAATATTTTGAACTTCTTTTGAATGTAAAGAAATCATTTGCTTGGGAACTTCACAAGTGTGACAACATCTTGAAATGTGTGATTTATATAACTAGAGTGGAGTTAGTCTTTTACTTTAAAATATTTTTTCTTTAATTTTTTTAAATGAACAGTTCTCAGATCTGTAACAGTAGTTCATGGATTGACCTTAATTAAGTTCAAATGTAGCCTTATAAGACTCTATGATAAATATATTAGAAAGTGCTATAACAAGTTTATTCATGTATAGGAATACAATGTATCTCAACATTAGTTTTGCCATCTGGGTTCCTCTTGGTCAAGGGCTGAATCAATATTTCATTTAGTGAAAACTTCCTGGTGAATATTCTGTCACTTAAGAAGCTCTATTAATCATTAATGAGTGAAACACATTCCCAAAGGAGATTCCAAACTGAGTCTGTGGTTTAAGTTCTAAAAAGAGATTTTTTTTAGCACATCAGTTTTGTCCGTGCTATCACTGGCTAGACATGAAAGTAAAAAGCCAATTGGAAAAATCTACAACTAATCCCTTTGTTGGTATGTAAAGTTCATTGGAACATACTGGTTAAAGTTTGAGTTGATACTTTCATTAGCAAATCCATATTTTATAGATTATGAGATGTTAAACCCTTTAGATAAATGAGTCTTTTTAAAATTATGAAAAATTATGCCAACTAATATAAGTGAAATTTGATATGTACTATTTTCAAGTTGGTATTACTCTAGTCCAGAAAAGTTCATTTAAATATAAAAATTGTAATAGCTAAATTATGTATATCCTTACTAATAAAAGCCTAAATGGTCATCACGCTGTGTTGCCCTCACGCTGTCACAAGATGGCTGTGTACACAGCAGGCACACGCAGGTGGGCGGGGCTGGGCTTGACGCTGCATGCGTGCTGCATGTGTGGCACGGAGCCTGCCTAGTGTCCCGTCTCCTTCCAGCTCCTCGTGGAGAGGCCTGCCTGGGGGTCCCGCCTCTTCCTGGCTCTGTGCAGTGATGCCTGCCTGGGGGTCCCGCCTCCTCCCAGCTTTGTGCACAGATCCGGGAGGAGGTGGGTACCCCGGCTCTGCGCAACAAGGCCTGCCTGGGGGTCCACCCTCCTCGTGGCTCCATGCGGTGAGGCCTGCATGGGGGTTCCCCAGCTCTGCATGGCAAGGCCTGCCTGGGGGTCCTGGGGGTCCCAACTCTGCATGGGAGGCCTGTCTGGGGGTCCCGGTTCTGCACGGTGAGGCCTGCCTCGGGGTCCTGGGGGTCTCACATCCTGGCTCCACGTGGTGTGGAGGCGGGACCCCCAGCTCCGACCTACCTCTTTGGGGCAATCCATCGAGGAGCCCCAGATGGGTGGGCAGGGCCTACCTCTTTGGGGCAA